AAAAAAAAAGCTTGTTTCTTTTCAATTCTATCTAGATATACTTGGGTTTGGCTTGCTTGGATTGAAGGTGCTTCCTTTTGTTTGTTTTCTGGGAACTCAAGGCAAAAATATGAGATTATTGTTGTTTTTCTATTTTGGTTGTATAAGTTATACGGTTGCCCGGTAACCAAAGGGAAAATTATTGGGTTTTCTCCTTTTTTATCTCAGGTTTTGATCTTTTCTCATTTTAACCAGTTTTAGTGTGGCTTCACAGTTCAACTATGCTTTTTTCAGCTTCTGCTTTGCTGTTTGACTAGGACTTAGCTACGATTCCCCTTGTTTGGTTGGGAAAACTACAGGAAAGGGAGGGAATCTAAAATTTGAAGAATTTCACTGATTCTCTAAATCTGCAGTTAGTTTCTGGGATTATTAATTAAATCAAAGCTTTCCCCCAGAATTTATTCTAAATAAGAGATATTAATTTACAAGGTTTCAATTCCTTTCTCTTTCAAGCAACCAAGCAGCTTGCTTATTAATCAGTCAATTTCTCTTACAAGTTGTTCAGTTATTGTTTTCTTCATGTTAATCTCTTTTTAACACATTGGCTTCACTCATGCTTGCCAGATTTTTACCAGCAACTGATGGAGAATATTGGAGGTAGTTCTTTCCAAGAAATAGAAGATTAGAGAGCTTCCTCCATACAAATTCTGTCCCAAATGTAAGGGCAACTTGGAAAAATTCAGGGAAGGAAGTAGCAGTGCAGAGGCCTCTGAAAGATGTTTATGTTGATGATGATGGAGGGATATCGACACTGATATCTTGTGTGAGGATCGTCACCTGTTTTGTTAAAATGATGGTTACAACATTCATCTGGGCGTTGATTATGCTTGTGCTCCTGCCCTGACCTCACCAGAGAGTCCGGCAAGGAAATATCTATTGCCATGTGACTGGTAGATTGATGGTATGCATTTCTTGATTCCTAGAAAATTTGGAAGTAGATTCTTTTGGTATTTGGTTTTTTAAAACATTTTATGAACATGAAAGGAAATCAGTTGGTGCTTTTAGTTGTTTCTGAATTTTTTGTGGTTGCTGATAAACAGGAGGGAAAAAACAAAGAAAGAAAAGGAATTGGGGAAACTCTGAAACTTTTCTTTTTTTGCTTCATTTATTGGAAAGCCATATCTACATGGACAAAAGTACAAGTTCATTTGTCTGCTGTTTCAGGGAAAATTTTAGGATTTCTTCTTACCTTAGTAATCAAAAGTTTCCTCCTTTTTGACAAATTTTTTTTGCTGTTTGTTTCACTTAAATTTCTCTTCATTTATTTTGGTAGCGGAAACATCGCAAGCAAATTTAAGAAGATGGTACATCCATCAGAAGATAAGCTTTGTGAGTGTAGATATGTAGGTAATGTTCCCAGATATTTGGTCAAAGCTTTGAATTAATTTTGGTATGCTAGCTCAAGAAGATTTATTCAGTTCAGAAAGTGCTCATTTATGTTTATTCTCCTTTCATTTATGTTATCCTGAAAAGAGATAAGATGAGGGCCGGCTTATGGATTGGGTGGTCCATTCGATAGTATTTGGATAGTGAAATGGAATAAAACATTGGACATTGCTGCATTGGGAAGAAAAATGGTGACTTTAATGAAACCTAGGTGACATGTGATTTGGCGGCTTCATAGGAGTTGTTCAATCTCGGTTCTGACACCTAAAGAAAACTTATGATTTCAGAGTAAAATCTACAAACTGACACAGAGCGCTTGTACATAGTTAAGGTACTTTACAGTTGACACTGCAAATTGAAAGAATTGCACCACATAAATTTTTAAAGGAAAATTTGATTTGTGTAATATGTTCGTCTAATTTTTGGATTTTTTTAAAGTAGAAGAGTCATCGACATTCTAAACATTAACATACAGATAGATGGTGATAGCCTGATACTATTAAATTCAATAATGTTTAGGTCATTTTCCTGTTAGATAATTAGAATTTTGAATGTTTATTGATTGTAGATGTGGTTCTTAAGAAATCCAGTGAAGATTGAAGGAACTGAGTTCTTTAATAAGAGGGCTATATACATCAGTAATCATGCATATCCCATAGACATTTTCCTCATAATGTGGTTGACTCCAACAGGGCACTGTTGGCATTGCAAAGGAAGAGGTGAGTATTACCACTGTAATTTATGCATCCTAGATTTGCCCAAAGGCTTTAACTAGCAAGGTTTCCTTAGCAACCTGCTTTGCAAAATTGTACTACATCTTCTACCTGCAATTAATGGATCAATTAAACCACAAAGAGTAAACATTTCTCATTTAATCAATAAATAAGAGTGTTGGAATTAATTAATAATAA